TCCTTGATATGATCATTCCCAAGTATGTCAGTTCAGGTCCCTGGGAAGGACACCAAGATGGTGTTAGAAGGGTGAGCAATTTATGGAGGAGACTGCCTGTGAGACAGGAAGAAAGAAGAAGAGGAACAGGTCAGACAAGGTTCAGGTCACAGTGTATGTCTGGCATCCATGAAAAAGAGGGGGAAGGAGAATTGATCTATGGGGAAGAGCTTCAGACTCTGGTGTAACAATGGGAACCCAGATACAAGGATTGCCCTGCAATGATTAGAAGTAACCAAATCCAATGCTTTACTGCACTATACAATGTCTGGGAGCTTCCCCATGACAGAGTATACTTGGATAAAATGTTGGGGCAAATTTGAATATGGCAGTTGGCAAATGTCATCTAAGTCTTCTCCTCAGAGAAGGTTTTCTGAAGGTAGATCTGAACCATGCACCTCCATGGATGCTGCAGTTCATCACTTGGATGCAGCTTATACCTCATGCAAGTTTGAGTACCAGCTCTTTCTTGGCTTCCATCCAGCTCTTCCTGAGTGGAAATTTATCAGGGTACAGTTATTGTGATAAATGAAGTCCTCTTCATGGCACACTTACACAACTGATGCTCAATACCTCCCTCCTCCACCATTCGTACTTCACATTGTCTATTTCAACACCTCAGATGGCCTCACTGGCTTACTTGGTGGTGGGACTCATCTTTCTTTCTAGAGAAATTGCTAACCACAATCTTCTTGAGCCAGGGTTTCTGTGTGTAACCTTTCAAAGCCACAATTGGTTACAAGAGTATCAAGGGACACCCAAGTGGATCACCTTAATTCCATACATATTTCTCTCTGCTCCATTTAGTAACAGTCCTACATCTTTCTACTGAACAAGGTTAATGGTATTGTCCACTTGATGACCCCTCTGCTAGCTTGCTGTTCTCTGTGTAAAGGAAGTTCAAATTGCCTCAGAGGTAGCAATAGGTTTCTGTTCACTGAATCCTTGTTATGTCTTTTGTAACAAATGTGTCTCCTATGGGGACCAGGACCTTTAACCCTTTAGATCCCACAATTGTAAGGATAGTGTCCATTTTTGTTACTATGAAAGAGTACCACAAACAGAGTAATTTATGAACAATAGAAAGTCATTTGTAAACAATAGTTGAGGACACAGAGGAGATGTGTAGAGAGAACAACAATACAAGGGGCATGCAGTAAAAAGATTTTAAGCAAGCCATCTGTGAAGAAAATTGAAAGATGAAAAGAAATGGTAGAATTTTGAGAAAATCCATGGGTCAAAGTAAAGAGGTACAATTAACATGATTTTGTCACTTTGTGTTAATACACTTTTTATGCATTAATATATGGTTTGTTGTTTGGGGGACAAGGAGTTTTGCTTTGGAATATATAAATAAAAATACCTTACTAGGAAAAAAAAAGAAATTCATTTGGCTCAGTATTTTGGAGGCTGGGAAGTCCAAGAACAAAGGGCTGCACCTGGTGAGGTCTTCCTGCTTCATAGAACATGCTGGAAGTCATCACAGGATAAGAGAGCAAGAGATTGAATTCAAAGCCTCAAGCTCTTCTATAATCAGCATTGATCCATTCATAAGGGCGGATCTCTCCTGACCAAAACACTTCACACTAGGTCCTACCTCCTGGCTCTGATACAGCAGGGAGTCAGTTCTCAATGCATGCTTTTGAGGGGATCCATCGAAACCATAGCAGATTGGAAACACAAAGTCCTCTGATGGGTCACTGGTAGTCTTGTCAGCTAACTTCATCCCCTCATTCCTCATGGTGAGTTCTCTCATGCAGAGAAATTTCATTAACACTAGAGTTGCCCCACCAGGTATTTGGTCTCCTACCTGTGAGAGGTGCATGCACACCCATGTATCATCATGTCACTGGCATTACTTTCCTGTTGGAGGAAAGTGTCTCCACCATTGACTTCAAGCCTTGCTGTAAGATTGGTTTCAGTTGGTGGAATGTGAATGAAAGATTATGTGCCACACTGAGCAGAGGCCTTAGGGGTGTTGTATTCATTCATGCTTTTCTTTCTCTGTGAGAAAACCACATCCTAACAGGGGCTAAATCCTAGAATGAAGAACACATGTGAGCAGAGACCAAGCTGATAAACGGCCAGCACAGTTACTACAAGCAGTTACGCAAGTTGTTATAAAAGTCTGTAGACTGGGGATCATTTGTTACTGCAGGATAACCTAACAAAAATCTGACTAATGCATTGCATGCTTGCTTTTCTGCGATATTCTGCCTGTTATTTGTGTCTTCCTGGATGTTTCTAATGGATGTTGCCTCAGGAATGGTTCCATTGTTCTTAATGCTTCTGGGAAGTCCTGGATTGTCTGCATTGAAAACGTTTCAATATGATGTTATAAACAAACTACTTGGCCATACCAACAGAGATTCTGATTTGACAGATACAATTCAGTAGTTGCCCTTAATATGGGGTCCTGGAATCTGCATATTTTTAAAGGCCCAGAGGTCTTATAGCAAATTGAGTAACTGATTGTAGGCTGCTTCATCCCACAATTTTCAGTCTGCTTTCACTGATCATCTTTCCTGGTCTCTTGAAACTAGATGTCTATCCCCTTTGTTACTTATCCTCATCCTTGACTTGAACAACGGCCTTTGTGTATCCAACTCATTCTTAGCTCCATTTCCTCATCCTATGTGCACAGCCTTGCTAAACTAGACTTGCACTTGTACTGGTTATTGTTTGAAGCACACATTAAATTTCTCTTGGAAGAGGTGTTTGTGTGTGTGTGTGTGTGTGTGTGTGTGTGTGTGTGTGTGTAAATACATCTGTGAACAAAAGCAGACAGAGTTAGATGACATTGTTTTGTGCTGATAGAAAGATAATTCTGAATTGTAGAGGCAAAGCTAATTATCTGTCTGGGAAAGTAGTAGGCCTTATTTAGGTCAAAAGTAACAGAGAAATTGCTGATATAATTATTTCTAGTAACTCATGAATGCCTGTGTGCATTAGTACATGCAGAAATCTCCCCAGGTGGCTATGTTATTAGGAATGAGAAGACTGTCTAAATAAATCCTTAAACCGATTTTGTTTAGTGCTACAGTGACAGAAATAAGGAAAAGACATGGGGATGAAAACAACTTAAGGCAAAGTTAGATGAAATCAAATATTCTATCTTCCATGGGAAAGATCAAAGCCATAATCATCACAAATGTTCCCAGACTGTGGAGACTGCCCCTCCCCTCCACTACTCTTACTTTTCCTTAAATTCTTAATAATTTTTCACAGACCCTTCTGATGAAGTTTCTCATTTATCTTGATTAATGCTCTTGAAATAAACACATAAGATGAAACACATGCACAGATTTAAGGGGCTTGTAGCTGTGACATGAAGACTCGCACTTAGCTATCACTAGATGTCATTTATTTTCTGGATAGCTATCCATTGCTCTAGTTAGTACACTGGAATTACAGCCACTTATACTGCAAAGATGATAAAGTTAGTGTCTGCACATAAATTGAAAATATTTAGAAAAAGATGAAATACATAAAAAATAGTTTTGATTGAGTGGCGCTAACATCATTGGAATGAAATACCAGAGTCAGAGTCTAATGATTTTATTGAGTTCTTTCTGGCTTTATTCCGAACAGACATGTAATTATCAAAAGTCCCAATTGAAGAGGAAAAGAAATCTCATTTTTCATGACAGTTCCCCCACTCTGGTTAAACTTATGACCAATGTTAAAGATTCTATCATGCTATGAGGGCACGGCCTGCCAAAATTAAGGTGAAAAAAAAAATACCTACATGAGTTATATGCCCAGAATGGCAAACTCAGCATACTTTCAAAATTTATAAAATTTGAGGTACATTTTACCATTCATACATGTCTAAAAACGTCTGTTAAATAGTTGTAATGATGCTTCCTTTTATTTTTTCTATTGTTGCATGAACTTTGTATGCGGAGAAACTCTAGAAAAATCTATCTTTTAAAAATTCAACTTTGTATTCATGTTGTAAAAGAGACACCATTACTGAATAGTATGGAGAGAGGCCCAAGGGCCGTTTCCTATATGAATCTTCAACTTCAAACTGAGAGGGATTTCTATTTTCAAATGTTTGTTCAAACTTTCCTATATAAAACTCAGGAGCCTTACATTTGAAAGCTTTGCCTACCATGAATACTTGTGAAAAATTTACAGCCATCTCAGCATCTATACTTCACATTTTAAACTACACCTCTTTTCTAGATGCTGCTCTTTATTCTATAAGGTTTTCTCGTTAGTAATGATAAGTTGCTAAAGTAAACGAAGCTCTCTGGAGAATGGAGAGGTTGGCAGTTTCTTCACCGATTTAAGAAAGTACTTTCTCTTTCTGCCCTGCTCCTCCCTCCCTCCATTCCTTCCCTCCTCCTCCTCACCTACATCTCCTCCTATCCCCCCCTCCTTTTTCTTTCTGTATCTCCCCCCCCCCATTTGGTAATAGAACTTTTGTTGGTGTTTCATTTTCCCCAACATATTAAGCAAATAAATTAGGGATGATTTTGATAAAGTGCAGAAGACTCTGAGGCTGAGAACTGGGACTCAGTCATCCATCAAAATGTTGTATAGGAGCCATTGTTATGAGATCCCCCCACCCACCCACCTTTTTTTTCTTTTTAAGCCACTGGTAAGATTTTCTTTACCTCCAAGTAAAGAAAAGCAATCAAAGATAAAGTCTGTGATGCTTCATCCCAGCCACCCTTGGGATGCTAAGCAGATGGGCAAAAAGATATCTGGAAATACATGTTAAGATTTCTTATTATAATCAAGTCCTATTTGCTTTATGTTCATAATTTAATGCAAAAGTACAGAATGCTTTCATATGCTACTCAAAATTGCTTTAAAATGCAGCCCACTGTGAAATATGTTTCTGCACCGGTCTGAAGTTAAAACTGGAGACTTGGCCCATCATAGATAGTCTCTTCCCGGGATGCGCAGGGCCCCCTGTGCTCACCGCCTGTGGCCTGCTTTCTTTCCAGCATCGGTGGAGAGGTGGGGCGAGGCCACGACGCCGGCTACGTGGGCAAGCACTTCCGCATGGGATTCATGACGATGCCGGCCCCTCAGGACAGACTTCCCCACCCGTGCTCCAGTGGCTTCACCGTGAGGTCGCAGTCCCTGCACTCGGTCGGGGGCACGGAGGATGACAGCAGCTGTGGCTCCCGGAGACAGCCACCACCCAAGCCCAAGCGGGACCCTAGCACCAAGCTGAGCACCTCCTCGGAGACGGTCAACAGCACTGCGGCCACCAAGGGCGGGAGGCCCGCCGAGAGGCCCGAAGGTGAGCTCCCAGGCCACGCGCCCTGACCTGGTCTGCCAGTGAGCCCCTGCCTCCCCCCGGGTCACCATCCTGCTGGCATCACCTGGGAGTCCCACCTGAGAAAAATCAAGGGGAAGGTTATTGAATCGGTCTGTTCTCAATACCCTTGTCTTTTTGTTTGGTCTGGGGATGGAACCCAGGGTCACTTAACCACTGAGCCACACCCCCAGGCCTTTGCCAGATCCTCCTGCTTCAGTCTGCCCAGCCTCTGGGATAAGAGGTGTCACCACAGCGCCTGGCTCAAATGCCCTCTTAACACTTTGGATCATTTGAAAATCATCTAGGAGAGATAGAGAGGGGGGGGAGGGGGAGGGGATGAATTTATATTTTCTAGCTTTTATTAATACTATTTGAATAACTGAGGGAAGTATTGTGTGTTTATTGGGAGAATGTTTTAATGCAGGACAATATAAGGAAAAAAGTTTTTTACCATAACTTTTGTGATGATCATTTTAACATTATTTTCTTCCAGTGAGTATGAATGCATGCATGTGTGTGTGTATGTGTGTGTGTGTGTGTGTGTGTGTGTGTGTGTGTATACAGTGTATGTACTATACATTTCAGTCTCTTTATATTACTGATTTCTTCCTGTGCCTACATTTTCCCTCAGCTATGAAATATAGAGTTCAGATATATCCCAGCCTCCTTACTGGCCTATGAATTAGGTCATATCAATCATGGATCTCACCAGTTCTTTAGCCCTCACCGGAATAAGTAAGTTTCAACTTTCCTGAGCTTTTCCTGAGAGCCCCTTAATGGGATAGACATCTTAAGTGTACTTTGAAACAAGCTGACTTAGTTTAAGGCTGCTATTACAAATTGCCCTAGACTGGATGGCCTATAAAGAACAGATTTTATTTTTCACAGTTCTGGAGGTTGGAACGAGCAGGATGTCATCATGGTCTTTTCTGGGTAGAGCTCTCTTCCAGGTTGTAGACTGCTGTCTCCTGCTATGCTCACATGGGGAAGAGAAGAAAGAGAGAATGAGCTGTGTTCTGACAGTGCTAATCCACTTGATGAGGGGTCCACCTTCAAGTCCTTAGTACCTCCCAAAGGCTCCCCCTTCAAGTACCACCATATTGGGACAAAGCTTTCAACATTTTAATTTTGAGGCCACAACGTTCAGTCCATTGCCCAAGGCCATTCAGATTTTTACCTATCAATTGTGATAAACACCTCAAGATTCCCAAAGCTACCAGTGGCCAGTTGGAGAACCCTGCTCTCCAACTGGCCCTGTAGACTCTCTCCTGCTCTGCATATTCTTGACTCTCTTCATAGCAGAAGATTCTGCTTCCCTGAGTCCCCCAGGTATCAGATTTCAGCTGAGGTTCACTGCAGAGATGGGGAGCACATGATCCTTTTCTCAACTGGGCAGAATTCTCTGCTACCTGGACTCCTCATTTCCCTGTGAAAGTTCCCTCATCTTCTAGTCTTCATCTTTCTGTAGAAGTTCAAAATTGTTCCACAAGATTAGGTGCCCCTGAGGTACATTCAGTTTCTCTCTTCACCCTTCTTTCTCCCTTCCTGGCATCCAAGTGTCTTTGGCCAAGACAATAGTTGACTGCATTATTGAATAATACAAATAAGTGCCTGAAGATAGTGGTAATCCACCAATTCCACAAGGATAAATCTCTTCTTAGTCTGTTTTCTCTGCTACAGATATAGGAATAATACATCATGTGTACATGTGTGTATTCATGTAAGAGCACACATGGAAATAGCAGGAACATGGATGTGTGTTTGCAAAATTGAAATCATAGTGCATGGATGGCATTTCCTGTGTTGCATTTTTCACTTATTCCGTGTGACTATTTTCTGGGGATTTTATTTGTCAAGAAACATCACTTTTTAATGGATGGAAGTGTACATCATAGGAATTTATTAATTATTTATTTTATTTATTATTATTTTATTGATATATACTTACATTGGCTCCAATTTTTTAGCTAGAAGGAACAGTAATAGAGTGAACACTTGTGTGTGTGCATTTGTGGGTCTGTATATATTTGGAAGTGACTGTTCTTTTTCTGCCTTCTTAGAATTTATTAGAAATTGGACTTTTTTCCCCCTCATGATTCAGGGTTATCAGTATGTCCTCCAACTTGTAACGCATCAACACATAGACACACATAGAGGTATTTAGTTCCCTTGTTAATACACCAAATGGCTCCAGAGACATGACTTTTATAAATTTTAAATATCATCTTAGGTTTTCTCTAATATTGATACCTGGTGCTGTTTGTTTTGTGTGATCCTGTGTCTAGAAGTTGCCCTCTCCCACTTCAATTGCCAGAATACTACATAATCAATAGCGTTAGATTGTTTGCAAAAGAAGATTACTGATCCTGACTTAAGACCTTGATTTCTGAATGATGAGGTCCTGAATGTAGTCCTGAATAGGACTGAAGAATAGTAAGAAATAAAAAAAACCCTGAATGGAGAGGAAAGATAAGACAGGCAGGAAAGGAGCCAGAGAGCAGCGTGAGTCATGCTGCCAGAAAACCTCCTGGGTTCCTGGAAGGAATGGGAGGTGCTCCCAGCTCCCCCTGGGGAGCGATGACAGGTACTTAGAGTGAAAATGTGGGGGAAATCGTGGTTACTGTTCTACAGGAAAAAAAAAATTGAGTGACAATTCAATGATGTTAAAAATAGAACAGAAAACCCTCCATTTGGGATGCTTCCGGTGTCTGTTTCCTGGAGGTATCATTCTCTCTCAGATCCACTCACCATCAAGGACCTAGGGTTCCCCATGGCTCGTTGCCAAAGAGAAGACAGTGGCTCTCTGAATCTTATATCACTATAATCTTTTACATCACCTGAAGGTAGAGTAGGACAAAGTGATCAAGTTAGGACATCAATGACTTAAGTTGGACTTGGAAAATTACTTGATGGGTTGGGAGGTGCACTTCCTCAACTGAGAGCTCTTAGGATAGATTGGGAATCCCTCAGCTGTGGTTCGTCATGGTCCTGAGTGAACTAGAGGAACTAAGGTCCTGTGCAGGAATGGTAGGCTTTTATAGAAAAGTGATTCTCTATGCAAATTTTACTCTCTCCTCAGAACACTTAAAAGGCAATTGTAAAGCTAGGTATAGCCAAATCTCTTCAAACATATTATGGCCTCAATAATAAGAGGATAAAATCTGTTATTATTTTATAGAGATAGAAAAAATCTCAGTTCAGGGGTGGGGAAATGTTTTTTGAGTCCAAATGCATGTGTGGGTATGTGTAAATTCAAAGCCAAAATTACATAAATATGGAGATTGCTCTTTTATGGATTCTCAGTTCCTTATAATTGCAAGTTAACTGGAGTTCATTATAGAACATGTTTTCTTTATAATTTTCCAGCTATCAACATTATAACACAGATAAAAAGTGACTTTTATAAATCTTAACCCGTCTTTTCTTTTTACATTAAATGTCAGCAAAATCAAAATATTGATTCAGTGGTATTAGAATGATTTCCATGGTAACCAGCTTCTATTTAAGTAGAGGATTATGACTTCCTTGTGGATAAAAGTAAAAAGAACTGGACTTGTAATAAAATGGCTTTTCAGAATAGAAGAAGAAAGAAAGAAAGAGATAAACTTGAACACAACAAAACAAAAATCATGTACTAAGAAAAATACAATTCAGTATTTAAAATTATAATTCTGTCACATTAAAAACATATATGTACTACTTTATATAAAGAACATAAATGGTAATCAGTATTATATGAATATTTTAATTACCTTTTCCTGTCACCTCAGTGTGATACCTGCTCATTTTTAGGCGATATTAAATGAAAAAAAGGAGTTAACTAGAAAGAATAAGGGGCCTTGAGTACAATGTGTCTCATGTGTGATCCATCAAATAAGCCATCTCAAAACCTCACCTCAGTCACTCCTATTCCTTTAGCAAACTTCTTCATTGCTCAATAATTTCATTCTAAAAGATTCTGTATGAAATGGGTAAAAGGGACTGTACTTAGAGTGAGAGGCGAACACTTTGGGCAAGTGACCCAATGAGTTTTTTTTAACCTTTAAGATAATTACAAAAAACTGAAAAACTGATGGTGTACTGCCTTTTTCAGTTTTTTGTAAATACTGAAAAACTAAATTTTTTTTAAAGTGGTAGTTACACATTTAAAATTGCATTGACTTCCATTTGTACAGCAACTTCTTTCAATCATGCACGTCATTGGCATTAGATACCTGGGTTGTCATAAGGCCATAAATGGCTGACTCCATTGCTCTGGGATCAAGGTGAGTCAGAACTCATGATGGAAGGGTGTGGTGGAAGAAAACAGTTCAGAACCTGGAACCAGGAAGAGAGAAGACAAGGGGGTAGGGGTGGGGGAAGGAACAAAATAGACTCCCCTGGACATGGATAGAATATACTTTCCAAAGGCAAACCCCCAATGACCCAGCTCTCCAGCAAAACCCTGCCTGCCTTCAGTTACCACCCAATGAATCCTTATCAGGGGATTAACACACTGATTAAGTTAAGGCTATCATAACCTAATCTTTTTACCTCTATGCTTTTTTGCATTATTTGACACATGAGCTTTTGGGGGACATCTCACTTTTAAAGTCTAATAGTTATACAAAATACATATTTTAGAGTTTAAAATAATGTTTTTCATGCCTCCATTTATTCAGCAGACACCTTGAGTGCCTATCTTGTTGTACTTGAGATTCTGCAACCAACAGAACAGAAGTGGTGCTTTCCTTCATTTTGCTTACCATTTTATTTTTAGTTCTCTGCCTCAGCCTGTTTTACTTTATTCATTTCACGGAGCCAGCAACAATTTAAAGGGATGATTTCAGAAACCAAAATACATATGGTATGACAGCTATGGGATTTTCTTCCATGTAATTAGTTGTTTAGTGAGGGAAGAAAGAGTTTTGCATGCTTTAATAATGTGTTTTTTCTAGAAAGAATAGTTGCTGCTCTTTGACTGTTTGGTGTTGACAATTTAA